TTAAAAAATTTAAATATTAAAAAAATTAGTAAAAATCTTCGCAGGCAAATTTGCCTGTGTTACAATTTAAGGGATATTATTTGTATTATTATTAGCATAAGAGATAACAGAGACTTTATTAAGTAAAATATTAGAGTAGAGCCATTGTGGCACATACTGTGGCTAAAATAAACAAGATAGTATCAAAGACGATACATGGCCCTCAAAGTCTCTCAAGTCCCTCAACACAGCCTTCAATTCCCTCAACACAGCCCTCAAGGCCCTCAAGTCCCTCAACACGGCCTTCAACTCCCTTAACACGGCCCCCAACTCTCTCAACACGGCCCTCAACTCCTTCTACTACCTTGGCTTGGCATATAAAAGATATATAAAGGGTGTATTTGCCCCTTCTGCTTGGTTTGGAGTTCATACCCCTCTCATAGTATTAAATACTTCTCTTATTCTCTCTTGTAAAGTGTAATATTCCCCCTCTAGGGTAATTCCTACAGGCAAGACTTATTACCATTTCTTATTTAATAAAGTTATATATAGTTACTATCTCGAATTATCTGCCTCCTGCTAGTGAAGTAATCCAACCCTTCACTTCCACCCGTATATATTCATAAAGTATATTACTACACTGGGTGACCTTGTTACTGTGCTATATTGGTACTTAGAAGGCTATAGCATTGTAATATTTTGGTGCCTCCTGGCAGAAAACCTCATTGGAAACCATCCCGAAAACACTAAAACTGTCTTTAGAAAGGAAGTAAATCTAAACCCCAACTGTTCTTAGGGAAATAATCAAGAAGAAATTCTAGCAGAAAACTGTGGAATTATAGCAAATTCTACTAAGGCTACTGGAACCCTTCATCTTGGATTATATATTACTAACTAACTTATTGCAGGATTGGCTCTTTAAAAAGAAAGCAATTTGTTTGGTATAATCTTCTTTAATTGATTTATTATTATTATTATTATTATTATTATTATTATTTTATTTTATACTTGGAGAGTTTATGCTTTGATCTCTTGCAAGTCTGCCGGCTTATTGTATTGAATAGCTATAAATTGTATTAATTGTATTGAATTGTTTAAACTGTTTAATGTCATTTATTTTGTTTGATTATTATTTCTTTTATTCTTCCTTCGCGCGCATATTATTATTATTATTTTTTTTTGGCCAAATCATATTTTATTTTATTTTATCTCTACTACTAATATTATCTCTAGAAGATAATTTCATTAACTCTTATGACAGATACTCTCTTAAGGTTTCATCAAAACAATATCGACTTACACCAACTCAAACATATTAACCCAACAGCCGCTGCTATTGAAGTATTGCAAGCTTATTCTTCTGATTTATCGTGTAAATTGTGCTATTCTCCTCAACATATAGCTACTCTTTAAATTTTGGTAACTTTTGGAATTGGTATTCTAGAACTTATAATACTACATCTTATAGTTCAGTCACTGAGCAAAGTTTTAAAAATTTACGTACTATTAACCGGAAACTTGCTTGTTCTGCTGCTTATGATATTATTTTTAGTTGCAGATACAGTAATAATATACCAGCTCCTCGTTCTGTAATTTCTATTTTATTTTATCATTTTACTTTGTATATTAACATCCCACAGATTGAAGAAGCAGATCAAAATCATTACGATATATATATTGATTGCCCTAATAATTCTTCTTTACCTATTCAACATATTCAATATTCCGAGGAATTAGAATCAACCTCTCAACACTTAGAACATACTGACCGCTCTATTCAAGTTACTACATTTTCACCTGATACTACTACAATTTTTGAATCTGATACTAAACAACAATTTTATCAATCTGCTGAAGTTCCTGGAAATATAACTAACGTTCAATTTCCTATACTAACTACTGAGTCTTCTTTTTCTTCAAATAGTACTGATCTTTTAGAGGCTAATTTTTATACTCCTACCCCTAGTCCTATAATCTCTCCTACTAATTTAATTAACCGAGAGTCTAATGCTAATAGTATTAACGAATTAGTACTATCTGGAGCTCTTTCTTCTTATCTAACTGAGAAACAAGAACAAATTCGCCCTTCTACTCCAGAAACTATTTTTAACATGGAGCAAGGAAATTTATTCAATAATGACAACAACCAAGTTGAATATATTTCTATATACCTGACTATAGACAATACTCCTATTGTTAATTATTGAGAAGTAGACCAACCCCAAGATAGAACTGAAATTGACCCTTGGAACTCTGCGACAGGCTCACAATTTCAACAAGTTCCACTTCTTGAAGATACTATATTACAACTTCCTGGAGGTTTTCCTAGCCCACAAACTTGGGATCACAATCAAAGTCGACCTACTTTACCTACAGGCTCCAACCATACTCAAGTCTATACCATTGATTATACAACTTTATTTGCTAATAACGAGTTTGCAGGAGATAACAAATTGGAAACAACCAAATCATCTGAAGAAGAATCATCTATAGCAAAATTATTTAAAGAAGTAGAATCCTCTGAAGAAGAATCATCTGAATCAGAATCAAGTAGTGAAGAAAAAGATATGGCTACAAATCTAAATACGGTGTACAAGCTTTGACTCGGCTTGCTCAAGCACTTGAACTAGGAGGTAACGGCAAAAAGAATCATATTAAAATTGAATCTTTTAAAGGTGATGGAACCCAAGATCCTATTGACTGGCTTGATGAATTTGAATGTGCCATTAAAGCTAACAATTGGAATGAAACTCGACGACTTGCCTTGGCTAAAGCATATATGAAAGGAATTGCCGAAGAATGGGTTAAAGAATATACTAATATAACAATAACAGCCTATGATGGACCTCCGGACACTAGTTTCAAATCTCTCTTCAAAACCAGGTTTAGTGATAATAAACAAAAGGCTCTTTGGCAACAGAGTTTCTTTGAGTTGAAACAAGGAACTGATACTATAGATACTTATGTTGCAAAATTTAAGAATTTAAACATCAGGAAGTTTTGAAGGTATTATTATATGCCATTATATGCATTAATTAACATTACTTGTTAAATAATACAATTACTCTATATTAAACAACACTATATATTTTATTACTTAACATTTACTATTAAATAACATACAATGCTATATTAAACAACAGTAAGCATTCAATTATTTAACGATTGTGTTAAATAACAAGTAAATGCTATATTAATATGCTGTTT